CATCCGTCCAATCGACACGTTGCAGGTGAAGCCCCGTGCGCTGCGCATCAGCGCGGCGGCGGCGTGAGTGTGCGCGGGGGTGAGTGTGCGCGGGGGTGAGTGTGAGTGCGCGCGCGGGGGCGCGTGCGCGCCGGGGGCGTGTGTGCGCGCGTGTCAGTGTGCCCCTTCCAAGAAATGCCCAGTGTGCACCCCGTGCACAATCAGAACCCATTCAGCACGAGCCCGGGGTGGGAGGCGGCCTGCTGCTGCTGGAGGCGATGGGCAGAGCGAGACAGACATGTCAGCAGCAATGCAGATGGGGCTGGGGGCCGCACTCGCTGGCGAGTTAAGTGGGGATTGTGTTTCTGCGTGTGTGTGAGTGTGTGTTGCTGTACGGTGCCTCTCCTCCCTCCCTTCTTCCTTCTTTTCCACTTCCCTCCTTCGCTCCCTCTCTCCATCTCTCCTCTTCCATTCAGGTTGGCTTTCCCACCTCTCATCCATGCCTGTCCCAGGAATGGTATAGCCAGACCTTTTCTGAATTATTTATAGACCGGTGCCAGCTGTTTTCAATTCCTCTCGTGCGCACTCTGTGGGAAATGCGGGGTTTCCTCCCCCTTTTCCCTAAAACGAACTGATATCTTTTTCGGAATGCATTTTTCTCACCCTCCGGGGACACTGAAATCAAACCCTGACCGCCTCTTTTTCCCCCTTAGGAAGGGGACGCTTTGGGAATGACCATGCTCCACGGAGGGACGGAGCCGGCCCCCAGCTTCTCCACACAGAGCCTTCTCCACTAAATCTCCAAAAATCAAAAACTGTAATTGTCGGAAGAATCATTAAAAATATTCCAGTCACTAACCTCACATGCAAACGGAATAATTACTGTGGATTCTGCATCGTGAGCAGAATTACCTTTGAATTCAACCTTTTTTCTTTGAATTTGCATCTCTTCAAGACACAAGATTAAAACAAAATTTACGCTAGATTGGATTTTAAATGATCTCCCGTTCATTTATCCTTCGTCTTTCTTATGTGGATATGAAAGCGAGAAGAGGAGACTGGACATCCCCAACATGCCCACTCCCTTAATCTGCCCGTCTAGAGGTTTGGCTTCTACAAACCAAGGTAGGGCAAATTCAATTTTATTTTTTCCCCAACTGCAGTAGGGATTCCTTGTTTTATCCACCCCTTGGGCACCCTCAAGTGGGTCCTTTTGGAAGAAAAGGTAACAGGATATTAGAATAATGCCGTTTGAGAAAAAGGGTAATTACAAAGAGGGAAATCTCCCATGTTAATTTCTTTTCCTTCTCTCATCAGACAGGCTTTGGGTTTTGAGGGGCAGAATAGGTATATATTGGCATGGACAATGTTGGATGGCATAAGGGGTATGTGTGCAGACATGGCCAGCTGGGAGACCTGTGTGATTTTCAAGTTAAATAGTATTTTATTCTCTCAGAGCTAAAGCTCTGATTTTCATGGGAATCTAGGATATGATTCTTTTTTTTTTTTTCCAGGCTCTCTTTTTCCTCTTGCCATCTTTGTGCCTTTCTCCCTATCTCCTCTCTTTACCTTCCTAGGCATCCTTTCTATATCCTTTAAAAATAAAAATAGTGACTGAGATGACTGTGGTTGGTGCCATTAAATCTCCTTGCTGTCTAAAGGGTTGACACTGGGCCCAGAGATCCCGGGAGGCCTATTGCAGAGGGGCAGGTATAGGTGGGGAATCGGGCTGGTCTAAGAACACCTGAAATTGAAGGATGCTGCAGGTGAAGAGGACTTAAATCATCAGCTTGGAGCAAAGAAATTCTGTCAATATTCTGGTTTTAATTTGTATTTTTTTAAATGTGCTATTCTTTTTGAGCTGTAAATTTCTCCTTCTGTCTACACATCTATTTATACCCACACATCCTCCAAGCAAACTGTTACTTCCACACTCTTGCAAAATGGCTATCTTGCAGAGTTCTAAAACGCTATGCATGTGGAAGGGGTGCAGAATTCGACACGTGAGTCTTTGTGTTAAACAAAGAGATGTGCTGTGTGCATGTGTTAGTCTTGTACTCTCAAAAATAGAATTAATACTTTAATTTTCGCCCCTCTCATCAATTTTTACAATATGTGAGATGTGGTTAGGCAGTATTTTAATGCACTTGATAAGAGAAATAGCAGGAGAAATGGAAAAGACTTAGCTAATGACTCTTCATCTAGTCACTCATGTAATCCAAGACAACTCCCGAGAAAACCAGATCACCATGGGCTGGGGGGCAGTGATGGTGAGTGTGTTGCTCCTCACCTTAGTCCAATGACCAGATGTCCCAAAACTCTGAAAGCATCTAAATGCAAGAATCAGGTTGGAGTAAAGATCTTTAAATATATGTAGCAGAATCACTAGCATCAATAATCTTTCCAAAAGTAGGACCCCCTCAATATTTTCTTTTCCTAGTGTTAAAGAATAAAAATCCTTCGAAACAATCCACAATACTAAAGGAATATGGGGAAGTAGCAGAACGTCCTTGTCACTCAACGTGACAGCAGATGATAGTTCTTCATTGTCCAGATAGGATGAATATAATCCAAATTCACTATCCCCCTCTCCTAGATTTCATTCTTTTGAGCTTTTTATTGTGAAAACACTGATCTGTATCCATCGTGTAATCAGAGAGGGTGGGATCCCACTTCCAACTAGGTTCTCGCCATGTCTGCAAAGAACTGAGGTTATCTGGTATGTGCTGGCCTTACGACACCTGAGTTGGTTCCTCATCTGCTTCCACTCCTTCAAGTAGGAGGATGAAGTCTTAATTTTACTTCAAAATAGAACAGAGGTATGGGCGAGACAGGCAGCTCCATGTGCCATGTCTCCATATGTGCAGATGAGCAGGGGAGGTAGGTATCCATAGGGCACTTGGTCTCTTTTGTGTCTGGTGTCTATGACAGTGCTGTACGCCTAGTAGGTCCTTCAGAAGTGGTGACAATTGACAAGGTTGACAAAGAGGTCTTTTTACAGGGTCTCAGTCACTTCATTTGTCTTGAATGCCAATGGGATTAAGCTGTGTTCCAGGCTGTCATTAGTCGGCCCTAGGACTAGGCAAAGAAGAGGTTAAAAGGGGAGGGTGTTAAAGTCTGAAGGAAGAGAAGAAGAGGAGGTGGGAAAGCTATAAAGAGAAAGGTGAGGTAGTCCAATGGGAAAGGGCTTGTTAGGATTCAAGGAGCAATCGCCACAGGTGGTCTGTACCTTTTCCACATCCAAGCCAATTTGGATACCCTGATAAGGAGGCAGGTGTTCCTCATCCTCATGGGTGGTCTCCCGGAGGCTGTAACTCAGTGATGTTCTAGACTTCTAGGGGCCATTTTTCTCCCCCCTATTTTATCTCCTTACATCACAAAGAGCTGACTAGGTTCTATTTTATCTTCTCTCCTTCTGCCACCCACCCTCCCACCCCCGCCCAGCCATT